TGGACTAGTTTCCTTGCCATAAGGTCATGGGGGACCTTGTCGAAGGCCTTACTGAAATCCAGGTACGCTACATCCATGGCATTCCCCGCATCTACCCAGCTTGTAGCTCTATCGAAAAGAGATCAGATTAGTCTGGCATGACTTGTTTTTGATAAATCCATGTTGACTATTAGCGATGACTGCATTTGTTTCTAAGTGTTTGCAGACCGCTTCCTTAACAATCTTTTCCAGAATCTTGCCCGGTATCGACGTGAGGCTGACCGGACGGTAGTTGTTTGGGTCATCCTTTTTTCCCTTCTTGAAGATTGGGACCACATTGGCCCTCCTCCAATCTGCTGGAACTTCTCCCGTTCTCTAAGAACTCTCAAAGATGGTTGCCAATGGTTCCGAAATGACTTCCGCTAGTTCCTTCAATACTCTGGGGTGTAGTTGATCTGGCCCTGGGGACTTGAACTCATTAAGAGCGGCCAGGTATTCCTGGACGACTTCTTTCCCAATTTGGGGTTGGATGTCCTCCAATCCCTCATCCACTCCATCTTGCTGAGGTTGAAGACTCTCTTTTTGTGAGAAGACCGAGGCAAAGAAGGCATTAAGTAGTTCTGCCTTTTCCCTATCCCCTGTCAGCATTGCCCCATCTTCTCCTCGAAGAGGTCCTATCGCCTCCTTGTTTTTCCTTTTTCTACTGACATAAGAATAGAAGCCCTTTTTATTGTTTTTAATGTCCCTGGCAAGTCCTGAGCTCGTTTTGTGCTTTAGCCTTGCGGACCTTTTCCCTACAGGTGTTGGCTATTTGTTTGAATTCTTCTTTGGTGATTTCTCCCTTTTTCCAGTTCTTGTGCATGTCTCTTTTGTGTCTCAGCACAGTTAGAAGTTCTTTGGACATCCATTCTGGCTTCTTTGCACTTGTCCTATTTTTTCTTTTTGTTGGCACGGTTTGCAACTGCGCCTTGAGTATTTCACTCTTGAGAAACTCCCATCCATCCGTAACTCCCTTGTCTTTTAGTATCTGTGTCCACGGAATGCTGCTCAGTGTTTCCTTCATTTTTTGGAAATCAGCTCTCCTAAAGTCCAAAATGCGGGTTTGACTTGTCTTAGTTTCGATCTTTCTTTGTACCTCAAATTGCAGGAGCATATGGTCACTTGCCCCTAAGGATCCTACCACTTCAACCACATCGATCAGGTCCTCCACATTTGTTAGGATGAGATCAAGAGTAGCCAATCCCCTTGTTGCCTCTTCTACCTTCTGGACCATGAAATTGTCTGAAAGGCAAGCAAGGAATTTGTTGGACCTTGTACTCTTGGCCGAGTTTGTTTTCCAGCAAATATCGGGATAGTTGAAATCGCCCATGACTACTACATCTCTTCTCTGTGCCTGTTTGGTCAACTGTTGGCAGAAGACTTCATCAAGTTCTTCCTCCTGGCTTGGAGGTCTGTAGTAGACTCCTACAACAAGATCTTTTTGAGTCCCAGTTCCCTTGATTCTTATCCAGATGCTTTCAAGCTGGTTTCCCGGATTGCTGTCATGCATTTCTTCTGCAGCATAAGAGTTTTTGACATATAAGGCTACTCCGCCTCCTCTCCCCTTTGTTCGGTTTCTGTGAAAGAGGTTATAGCCCTCGATGTCTACATTCCAGCGATAGGAGTCATCCCACCAGGTTTCAGTGATGCCTATGATATCATATTTGTGGTGTTGTGCTAAAAGTTGGAGTTCGTCATGTTTATTTCCCATGCTCTGTGCATTAGTGTAAAGACATGTGAGTCCCTGAGATCTTCCCCTGAGCTGTTTAATTGGGATTATTGTGCTTTCGGTACTTGGTCCTTTTTGTGTTTGTGCAGCCCTCCGTTTAGCCTTCTGGCGGTTCCCTGACATTGTGGGTAAAGTCTTGTTTGCAAGGCTGTTGTCCCCCTCCCCCAGTGGGCCTAGTTTAAAGTGCGCCTAATGAGGTTTGCGAGTCTGTGATGCTATACTGTATATGTACAGTATAGCTCTGCCCACTCCTCTCTCCCCCTCCTCTCTCTCTCTCCTCCTTTTCCCCCCCTCCCTTCCTCCCTCCCTCCCCCCTCCCCTTACTGGATCCACCCTTCTCCCTCCCTCCCTGCTTCCCCACTGGCATGGGGCTCTCACCCAGTTCTTCCCTTACTACTTGTATTTAAAAAAAATTTTTAAAGCCACGAAAGAGCGAGTCCGCGGTTATTGAACTGCGAAGCGGCAAGGGAACACACTCTCTCTCCGTGTGTATACAGATTAGACATTATCATGACTAGAGCTAATGGGAGTTGGGACACAGTAACATCTGGAAAGTTGAAGTTTGTTCTGTTTAGTCAGGAGAGTGGGGTTTGAATTCAGATACAAGGTTTGTGGATAGGATGCCTGAATTAAAAAGATTCTTTAAGCTTTCTCCAACCTCTAAGCCACAAGGGCTGCTGGGTTGCAATTACCATTATTCACAGATAAGCAAAAGTGATGGGAGTTGTTATTCAATAATATGTGGGAACCCAAACTGGACCACTATCCAAAACAATATTATAGTTGGCCCTCTGTATCCACAGATTCTCCATCCATGGAGTCAACTGCCCTTTGATGAAAATGGATTTGACACCCCTGAACTAGAGGCAATGAACAAACATCATGACTAGTAGCCACTGAGAGACCTCCAGGAACCCCTTGAAAGTTGTTAGGGTAGGGGGCTATCAGGAGATAGCAGTCTTTCCCTCAATATAGTTGCCTCACTGGCAACCTCTACACTGCAGTCATTGAAAGAAAGTAGAAACAGACTTCATTGTGGTCCACTGCATGCCTCTCTATGATGCATCCATGCCATGCTTGTAAAGGTTCCCTGATCCAAAGTTGGAAGGCATTTGAAAGGCACCCAGGCAAAACCAGGGCAAGCATGCTCTCTGTATGCTCTCTATCCTGCCAGATAATTAGGTCATGGCAAAGGTATCTAATGGCGGAGACTCGGTTCTATACCTTGGGGAGCACCATGGTTAAAACAGACCTCATCTCCTGAAAGGGCCATGCATGGCTCGATCAATTGCACTTTATCCCCTTGAAGAACATAAAGGGCTATCTCTCAGACAAGCTCCTTAATGGAGCACAGTAGCGCAGCCTGACAGCAGAGATCTCCCTCTTGCTTCCGTGCCCTACATTTGCCAGCCAGAATCCATAAGAAAAGGCGTTTGCGGCATAATATAATGCAACCCTCCGACATGAGCCGCTCTCCCCGCGGAGCCCGTGGTTCACAGAGAATGAGCTCTTTGTTGAGGCGGAGAGATCAGGGATGTCATGGCCAGATCCTCTGGGTACCTGATCCTTTCACTGCAGTCGTGTGCCATGGCATGAAGAAGGGACCGCTCTTCTTACAGGGCAGAACAAAGGCATGCAAAAAAGGAAGCCAGCACGTTAAGCTTAGCACTTGCACATTTCCCTGCTTTTCAGAAATGGCATCATCTGTCTCTACTTTCTGAAAGGCAATTATAAATGAAAATGGATAGAGGTTCGATCCTCTTGCTATTTCTGGACTTAGCTTGGACATTTACAAACTGAGACAGGTTTTCCAAATCCATCTGGCATCCTTGTATCTGCTTATTTATTAGGGTTGTTGCTTATTTAAACAAAACAGTTAATTCTTTCAACAAGTTTCAATTGACTGATGCATGTATAGTTATATCAACATGCAATACAAATTGGTAGCTGTTCAGATCTTAAGATTGGCAGGGGAGGCCCTCCTCACAGTTCCACCCCCATCACAAGTTCAGTTGGTGGGGACGAGGGAGAGGGCCTTCTCGGTAATGCCCCCCCCCCGACTCTTGTAATGCCCTCCACAGGGAAATTAATGGGGCCACAATAGCTCAGTGGGTTGAACTGCTAGCTGCAGAAGAAATGGAAGGTTGGCAGTTCAAAGCCATGGATCGGGGTAAGCTCCCTTTGTCAGCCCTAGCTTCTGCCCACCTAGCAGTTTAAAAACATGTAATATGAGTAGATCAATAGGTACCACCTCAGTGGGAAGGTAAAAGGTGCCCTGCAGCCATGCCAGCAAAACATGACCAGGAGAGTCTATGGATATCAGGCTCCTCGGCATGGAAAATGGAACAAGAGCACCTCTCCATGGACAGAGTTGAGCATCACCTCCAGACACGGGAGATGGAAAGGGAAACCTTTGCCTTTGTGTATTGTATGCCATTGTTCACTGTATAAAAGGCACTGAATGTTTGCCTATATATGTGTATACTGTAATCTGCACTGAGTCCCCTTGAGGAGACAGAGCGAAATATAAATAAAGTGTATTATTATTAAGCAGGATCCCACACTATCGATCTTTAGGAAAGAATTGAAAACACTGTTTTCTGAGTGTTGCTTTTTATTAACTGTCCTGATTTTAGAGTTTTTTTTAAATACGGGGAGCCATTATTATAATTACAATTACAATTATTATTATTATTGCTCTAAGTTTTTAAAAAGGATTTTCTGCCTTCTATCACTTTTCTCATACCTAGCTCACGTGGTCAATGATCATCAGAGTGGGCAAACCAAATATCTGGTGCAATCCAAGCTGAAGAAGGTCCCTGTGAACCAATTAATGATCAAGACATATCTATCCCACCGTATGTTCAAAGATCTCAAGCTGGTGTGCAAGTAAAATGAATGCAGTTATTAGGACACAGGTAGAATGAGCAACAAAATGAGGCAGTGTGGTATGTTTCTACACACTAAAGAAGATATGCCCTTCAAATTAACGTCTCAGGTTTTAGTACACACTGGGAAAATTAAGTTTTCTTTTAAATTGTCAGCAATAACTGTTCCATGTTTTGCATGTGTCCTAGTTATGTTGCCAATGCACCTCCCATTACTGCGTGAAATGTTTCTTGACTTTTCCATTGCCCTCCTCATTGAATGTCTCTTGCCAAAGCAAAGTGCCCCCCTTACCCATTGCACATTCACACAGACCCCCATGGATTTCAATAAATCCCTATACCCACAGCATTCTGGTATAACCCACCGGGATTTAGGAAGACAGGTTCTGGGTCTCCTTTGTTTCCATAATAGTAAATTACGTCCCCCTTGGTGGTGCTAAAAGATAAAAATAGAAAAAAAAGTTCTCCTTGCAAAGTGGCAACTCACAGCTTTGATTAAGTTCTAATTTCATGCAACCCTCCAAACAGCAAGACATCTTTTCCTTCAGTTCAGAGATCAACCAATTACTTATCTACTTTTGCTTTAAAAAAATCAGATGAAACATTTGCGACAGCGACACTATTTAAGGAGGCTGGTTAAGAAAAGGAAAGTAATTTTCCAGGATTAATGTAAGTCTCAAAGGGGAGGGGAAAGGTTGGTGGGGAAAGAACCCTCGGCAGTGCTGTAACTTGTGAGCTAAGTGTGGGATCCCAAGAGAGCAGAGGCTGTATGTCCACATGCGGTCCTCTGCTAACTCTCCTTTAAGGTTGCAGCCCACTCATCCCTGCCCTTCTTCTGGGGGCTCTCATGAAGTATAAGAGGGCACAACACTGAGATACCCTTTCCTTCTCTTGCTCCAACGCTACATGGATTTTTGAAAAACAAAGTTTATTATTTGTTTATTTGTTTATTTACGACATTTCTACCCCACCTTTCTCACCCTGGAGGGGTTCAGTCTCAAGGCGGCTTTACATACAGGCAACAATTCAATGCCCTAAAACACAATGTACACTTAAATAAATAGTAAAAAACAATTTAAAAGTACATTCAAACAATTAAAACATTTGAAAACAATACATTAAGAGATAAAAACGCAATCCCCAAGCGCAATCCGGGCTGTCCCAATGGTCATTGCAAATTGTTTCAAGTCTATCTATTGTTTAAAGGCTTGGTTACAAAGCCACATTTTCACTCTCTTGTGGAAGGTCAGAAGGGAGGGGTGGATCTAACACCACTGGGGAGAGTTCCACAGTTGAGGGGTCACCACAGAGAAGGCCCTGTCTCTCATCTCTGCCAAAGTTAAGTTCTATTTATAGAATCTGAGAGTTGGAAGAGACTCCAAGGGCCACCTAGTCCAACCCCATTCTTCCATGCTGGAAACCACAATCAAAATACTCCCATCTAGCCTCTGCTTAAAAACCTCAGAGAAGGCAGCTCTACTAGATTCTCAGACAGCATATTCTGCAGTTGAACAGTTCTGACTGTTAGGAAGTACTTCCTAATGTTTAGGTGGAATTTCTTTTCCTGCAATTTGATTCCATCGCTCAATTCCTAGTCTCTGGGGCAGAAAACAAAGTTGCCCCTTTCTTCTCAATGTGAACTCTTTTTAAATATTTAAACACAGCTCATGTCCCCTCTCTGTCTTTTTTCCTCCAAGCTAAACACATCCAGGTCCCTAAGCAACTCCTCACAAGGCTGTGATCATTTAATTATTTTGGTTGCCCTTCTCTGGATGCCTCCCAGCTTGTCAATATTCTTCTTGAATTGCTTCGTCCAGAACTGGACACAGGGCTTTTTTTCTCCAAGTGGCATCCAACAAAGCAAAATAGAGTGGGACTATGACTTCCTTTGATCTCAACACTAGACTTATATTGATGTAAGCTAGAATCACATTGATTTTTAAATATATATATATATATATATATATATAGATATATATTAAAATTTCATCACATGAAGAAGAAAAAGAATGAAAAAAAATGAACGAAGTAATTTTCTTTACAGTGAAAGTGGGAGAACATTGCTTGTATAGAAAGTAGGAAAAAAGAGAAAAGAAGAAGAGTAAAAAAATAAAAAAGTAAAGGTTCAAAAATAGAAGGAGAGGAAGAAAAAATATAATAATAAAAATTATAGAATTGTTAAAAAAAGAAAAATACTTTAAAATGGGAGGGGAAGTAAAAAAAGTAAAAAATAAAAAAAAATGTTTGATGACTTCCTTTTTGGTTCTGTTGGTCATTTAAATTTATTTTGATTTTATATTTATAATTATTCTGCTCCCCCACCCCCCGGTCTACTTATTTCCTTAAGATTGAATATCTTCAGCAAATGAGATCCATCTTCATCTGTTTTAAATAGTCTTTTACAAGGTCTCAATTAGTTTGCTTTTAGGTAATCCTAAGTTGGGTGACAGCCAATAGGTAAGTCTGTCCATGTTCATGATCTCTAACACTTTGTTTATCCGGTCTTCTTTTTTCGGTATTTCTTTTGATCTCCAGTTCCTGGCATATACTATCCTGGCTGCTGTGACCAAAAAATTAAACAGAATCTCTTTATTCTTGTCATTTTATATGTCTAGCACGCCTAATAGAAAGTATTCGGGCTCTCTTCGAATTTTTAATTTTAGGATCTTTTGTGTGGCTTCATTTATATCTTTCCAAAACTGTTGCGCTTTTGGGCGGGTCCACCAAGTGTGGAAAAAAGTTCCAGTCTGTTGTTCTCATTTCCAACATTTGTTGGATGCATTTTTATAATGTTTAGAAATTTTGTATGGTGTAATATACCATCTGTATAGCATTTTAAACCAATTCTCCTTCAAATCGTAAGAATGGGTGTATTTAGCCTTTCTTTCCAAGCCTTTTTCCAGTATTTTAAATCAATTTGGTATCCAATATTTTGAGCCCATTTCACCATACATTTTTTTATTTGTTCTTTTTCAGTTGTCCACATTGGCTTTTTAAGCTTCCACATCACACTGTTGGCTGATGTTCAGCTTGTTGTTCACTAAGATTCCAAAATCCCTTTCACATGTTTTCAAGCCAGGCCTTCCCCATCCTATATTTGTGCACTGCATTGTCTGCAAATTTGATAAGCGTGCCCTCTAGTCCATTGTTCAAGTCACCGATAAAGATGTTGAATAGCATCCTCATCAATATCCTCTCTTAAAAATTACTGGATACAGTTTTTAAACAATGGCTAAGGTTGGATGAGAACTAAATACAACAACAACAACAACTACTACTACTACTACTACTACTACTACTACTACTACTACTACTTTATTTATACCCAGCCACCATCTCCTGAAGGGACTCGGTTTGGCTCACAAAGCCCTCAAAGGTGCAAACACACAGACCGCTTCCTGCAAAAACAGTTCCTCATGTTGTGGTGACCCCAAGCCATAAAATTATTTTCGTTGCTACTTCATAACTGTAATCTTGCTAATGTTATGAATTGTCATGTAAATATCTGATATGCAGGATGTATTTTCATTCACTGGACCAAATTTGGCACAAATGCCCAATACACCCAAATTTGAATACTGGTTGGATTGGGGGTGGATTGATTTTGTCATTTGGGAATTGTAGCTGCTGGGATTTATAGTTCACCTAGAATCTGAACTCCACCAACGATGGAATTGAACCAAACTTGGCACACAGAACTCCCATGACCAACAGAAAATACTGGAAGGGTTTGGTAGGCATTAACCTTGAGTTTTGGAGTTGCAGTTCACCTACATCCAGAGAGCACTGTGGACTGAAACAATGATGAATCTGGATCAGAAGAGCTGCAAAACCGAGAACAAACCACGAGCGTAAAGATGAAGATCCACCCAGAGGAAAAGTGTTCTTGCCATACATCAAGGGAACCACTGACCGCATAGGGAAACTGATGAGGAAACACAACATACAAACCACTTACAGACCCACCAAGAAAATCCAACAAATGCTACGTTCAGCAAAGGACAAGAGGAATCCTCTCACCTCTGCAGGAGTCTACCGTATACCATGCAGCTGTGGACAAGTCTACATAGGGACCACCAAACGCAGCGCCCAGACACGCATCAAGGAACATGAAAGGCACTGCAGACTACTTCAACCAGAGAAGTCAGCCATAGCAGAGCACCTGATGAACCAGCCTGGACACAGCATATTATTTGAGAAGACAGAAGTGCTGGAACCAACAACTTCTCTGTGTCAGACTACACAGAGAAGCCACTGAAATCCACAAGCATGTGGACAATTTCAACAGAAAGGAAGAAACTATGAAGATGAACAAAATCTGGCTACCAGTATTAAAAAACTCCAAAATTACAACAGCAAAACAACAGAGGGGAAACAAACAGGCACATAAAATCACTCTCAACAAAAGATTCCCCCCAGGCGCTTCCAGGCCATTGAATGCAAATCAAGGTGATCAGCTGAAACATTCCCACCTAGCTCCAGCAGAGAAGAGTCCTTTGTCCCACCCTGGTCATTCCCAGGATATATAAACCCTTTTTCCTAGTTCCAACAGACCTCACTACCTCTGAGGATGCTTGCCATAGATGCAGGCGAAACGTCAGGAGAGAATGCCTCTAGACCATGGCCCTATAGCCCGAAAAAACCTACAAGAACCTAGTGATTCCAGCCATGAAAATTCAATATGCCCAAATGTCAACATTGGTGACGTTTGGGGAAAATAGATCTTGCCATTTGGGAGTTGTAGTTGCTGGGATTTATAGTTCACCTACAATCAAAGAGCATTCTGAACCCCACCAATGATAGAATTGGGCCAAACTTCCCACACAAAACCCCCATGACAAAGAGAAAATATTGTGTTTTCTGATGGTCTTTGGCAACCCCTCTGATACCTCCTCGTGACCACAACCCCCAGAGGTCCCAAGCCCCAGGATGAGAAACGCTGTACTAGAGGTTTTGCTGAAATGCTAAACATAAGGCCTCCCCCAAAAGTAAGACCTAGCAAAGTTTTTGTTTGGAAGCAAGCTACAATACTGTCCCTGCTGTACAAGTGGTCCAGGAACTGCTGTGGGAGATGTTACTGTCTCCAAGCAGTGTGTAGGAGCCAGGTACTTTTCAGCCCTTTTCTTCTGGCCCTATGTGTGAGGGCCTATATATTTATTATATACTGACAACTACTGTACAGCATATAAAATGTTCATTTTTTGTCGTTGTTCTTGAAAATTTCAGGGGGGGTTGAAAATTTCGTGGGGGAGGGTTGAAACCTGCCTCTTAGCTCATGCTGAAGCAAAGAGCACAGCAGGGGGCAGAGCAGCCTTCAATAGCCTGCAGCTCCGTCCCTGTCAACCACCTCCACCAAGTCTGGCCTCCTTAATGAGAGCATTCAACACCCCCCCCCCCCCAACTTGGTTGCTTCACTACATCGGCTATTGCTTTAGC